CAGTCTCTAACCAGTCGCTGCAGCAGGGCAGACTTCAAAGTGTTTCAGAATGCGATTTACGGCCAACGGTTAAAATGGTCTTTTTCTTTGTTTTCTTTTTTTTCAACCTTAAATCAATCCTACGAAAATAAAAGTTCCTCTCTCGCTTAGTCTGTCATGCGTGACGCGAAAGAAAACCGTGAGAAAAAAATGGCCATGTGAAATCCTGGGTGTGAGATGTTCGTCTCACCACTAGGAGTTCGCAGGGCTAAATTTTTCTTGCGGCTTTCTTTTGCATCACGCACGACAGACTAAGCGAAAAAAGCGAAAGAAGGACTACTTCTAGTCTACCCAAGCCTTCACAGTCAATTGATTTTGGTGCCATATCCGAAACGCATGGCCCGGCGTAGCCACACTTCTCCCCAGACCACGTGACCCGAGACGATTGACCGCAGTGAAATATCGAGGCTGTGAACTAGGCAAGTCCCAAGCTCCCTGTTTCCCACTCTGCAATGCCATTTTCCTGCCCAATAGACCAGGATTCATTTTTCATGGGCTATCTCTGCAATGGTGTCTTAATTGTTCCCTGCATCAGTTGTCAGTCTGGTCTGAAATCCCCATCAGGGGTGCCCAACAATGTTTTAAACAGGGAGGCTCCTCCCTATGAGCTTTTAACCCTTGCCCTTTTATATACCATTTTTGACAGAAAAAGAAACCTTTTCCCATACCTTCCTTAGAAAATGGTGACCCTCTCTCACAAAAAGATTACAAAAAGACAATGTTTTTTATAGACGAGAGAAGACTAATAACTAGTAATTTGTTCAAGGCTATACTGCATGCATCTTACACAACATGTTTTTGTAATCTCCAAAATGGCGGACGTTGTCGACGTTGGCTGTTCGTTCACCACAATCGGTAATACTGGAAATGAAAATTGTGATATGCCCCCTCCTTGTCTCCCATCAGCAACTGTAGAAATAACTAAGTTAATGAGTGAAGGATGTAAAGAAAAATCTCTATTGAGCGAAAAGAAGGAGACGATGGCAGAAGGTGACCACACGGCAGAAAATATGGACAACGTTGGGGCTGAAAGTTGTGATATGCCCGCACCTTGTTTACCATCAAAACCCCCTGAGAAGACAGAAATTGCGAATGAAGGATCAAAAGAAAAGGCTTCACCTAAAAAAAAGAAAGAAACTGTACCGGAATTGCCATACAAAGAACCTTCATGGAGTGGTATACCGGAGGAACTGTACAGCTTGGAGGTGTTGAAGAATGGATGTATTGTATCAACTATCGACCTTACTAGTAAACCGTTTCACGTGTTTGGAAGGCTTCCAAACTGTGACGTTAGTTTAGAGCATCCCTCTGTCTCCAGATACCACGCAGTTATTCAGTACAAGACGAGCGACACTTCAAACAGTGAGAAGGGATTCTACATTTACGACCTCGGAAGTACACATGGAACAATTGTAAACAAGTCCCCACTTGAGCCCAGGCGTTACTACCGATTGCGTGTTGGGTATGTCTTCAAGTTTGGGGGAAGTTCAAGGTTATTTATCCTTCAGGCAAGTAGATTTCAACTATTTTTACCAGGGTTACCAGAAACGAAAACTTACACAAGTACGCAATTGTTCATCAGTACATGTAGCTACACAAACTGCAGACAAGCTTAAGGGGATCTTGTATTCACGTATCTTCATACATGTAGTGCTAGCTGCTGATTTGCCAGCTGAGTGTCCAGAAGTAAAAGAAGAGACGGTGAACAGATCAAGGGGCTTGTGATCCAGAGGGGGTGAGTGGGGGTTACTCCTTTTCATACATGTAGGTATTGGCTGTGGGATAGGGTATGGCTTTTGAGGTTTTTGAGGTTTGCCCCTGTTGGCATCGTGGTGTGATCCTTATATAGGCTACCTAAATTTTGTCAGCTAAAATTACAATGCATAATTGCCTGGCTAAATGAAAAATAAATTCTAAGCTTGATGCTTAACTTCCAAAGTTACTGAAACAAAATTGAGACCTTACTGTAAATAGTGTATCAATTTTCTTTTGCTTCATCCTTAAATAGGGTC